AGTCAACATGTCACAAATCATAGTCAAGACATCTAATTTCAATATCATACCACCCTATCAATCCTAACACAAGGCATAATCCAATACAATATCATGACTTAATCACAATTAACCAAAATTTGAAGTAAAGGATAGCTTCATCATTTTCCGACTTCTAAAAGCTAGTCAAATAGGCTAAGGCACGCTAGTACCTCCTTGAACTAGTTTATGGACGTCATGTACGTTCTTGGACGTTTTGGTTTCTAGACTTCCTAAATGATTTATAATCATTGTAATGGACCTTAAAGTAGTGTCTAGACCTTAGGAAATTTATGTTAGACTCTATAACATGTCTTGGATTTTCAAAGTGTTACAATTTGGTTCACATAGAGTAGTAATTAAATATCTACTCATAGACAATGTTTTATGTTTTTCAGTTTCTTTTAACAATTTCACTCATGTTTTAGTGTGTTTTGTATTGTATGGATCACTATATTTTGCTTATAAAAAGTTAAATTTCAGACGCAATTATTGCATTACATAAAAAGTGTAGTATATAACATATAATGTATGATACATTATGTATATGATAGATATGTTTTTGAAAAGTAATGTACATGATTCATTATTTATAATTAATATTATATATGAAACAAATAATATATATATATATATATATATATATATATTACAAACATAATTATTTAATTTATGTATCATATAAATTATCACACATATTCGTTGTGTATATGATTTAATGCAAATAATACAGTAACAATACAACAAACATTATAAATTTAATGTATATGATACATTACTGAAATTATTTATTACTTAATGTACATGATACATTAGCATATATGTTATCCAACAATTGATTTATAATCATAATTGCACCTTAAAATTTATTTAACAAAATTAACATTGATACACAAATCATAACAAATTATTTTTCTGAATAACAATATTGATAACAATTGAAAATTGTTTACATGAACAATATTTCAACACAACAAAAGCATTAATGTCTTATAAATATAATGATTATTTCACATTTCATTTGGGAAGAAAGTACAAGTTCTTCTGTTGTGGCCTTCTTGACCACAATAATTTTATGTTCACCATAATATTTTCATCTACATTCTTTTTTCCTCTTTTCCTTGGTCGTCCAGCTAATCGTTTGTATGTAGGTTGATACACATTTTCAGCTACCACATTCTCAGGAACAGTCCAGTCTTCATCATATGGCATCGAAACAATTGAAATCTCATATGTTTTAGAAAATGCATCAGGATTGTAGTAATCAGAGAAATATGAATGCATATCTTTAATATTTTTTTCCTTTAAAACAACGATTTCATGTACGCAAGGTATCTCATCTAGTTGAAATCTTCCACAAGAACATTCTTTCTGCTCAAGACAAATAATGTATCTTCTTCCATTTACATAAATAGAGAAAACAAATTCAGATGATGGAACAACCTGCGTACATTAAAAAGATCAACTAGAAAATTATTTAAAAGAAAGCATGCAAATGGTATACTGAATTAAAATAATAAAAAATAATGTATCATGATACATACCTCCATCTTTAAACTTTTAGACGTGTTTATAATCAATACCTCCTCAAATCTTCTCCAGTGTGTCCTTTGTATAATAGGTTATTTCTCTGTTTTTGCACTGCCATGAACCAATAGAATTCTAACTTCTTCCGAGAATTCTAATATCGACAATTGGCGTGCTTCAACAAGACAACCATTGTTACATTCCACAATACTCTCGATCACTTCTAATACCTTGCATCCTCAAGGTACTCCTTAATACTGCAATCAACTTTATCAACCTTAACCATCAATTTATCGAAATCCTCCTTTTGGTATGTCTTCGCCATAGAGATAGAATAGATGACTTAGGGAATTTCTACTCTTTTTGAAGCTTTCATAAACATTCTTCCAAAAATGTCATATGCATGCATAATGAGGTACATTTGGGAACACAAACCTTACAGTATTAATAATACTCTCACTACTATCTGATAACAGCACACATGTCTTTTTGCTCGCCAAAATGCATTTTTGAATTGCTTTTTTTCCCGTAGTTTCCTGGTAGCGCTTTGCGAATCTGACTAGTTGTACCCACCGGGTCCCGTTGTTTCAAGGTGGGTGCACCATAGTTAGTTTCACAGGGCCCTGGAGACGCGATCGGTTTGTAATGCCTCCAGTGGACCTGTTGGGGCTTGAACTGGCGACCTGAAGGACTTTATCCTCAGGACTTTACCAGCTAAGCTACCCCTTGAATTGCTCAAAAAATCATGTCATGACAATCATTTTCAGTGTCAATAGCACCCTATGCCAATGAAAATATGCAACCTAATTACAAAGCAACACATATTATCTTATCTGATACATAATATTTATAAACACATCACAATTACAAAAAAATACATACCTGCACCATCAAGTGTGCTTGCTGATACAAATGTCCTTTTATAAGTTTCACCCAGATGTGTACCATTAACAACAACTATTGGTCTGTAATATTTGAACCCCCTAATAAATGGTCTTAAGGCTATAAATAGATACATAATAATTTAGTGTATTTTTTATATCAGAGTCAAAAAAAAATATTTATCCATGTATCACAATTTTTGTAATGCATCGTCTATATGATTGTTGAGAGTAATTTAATGTTTCAACAGTATTATATTAACATATCAAAAGAATTAACTTAATGTATCAACAATATCAACAAATAAATAAATAATGAATTATGTATTAAAAATTTTTGGAATGTGTCGACTACCTGATTGTTGTTATAAAATTCTGTAATATTTCAACAACATTGTCTTAATGTATCTACAATATTAACTTAATGTATCATTATCATTCAACCAAATCATATTCAACAAACAAAACAAAACAAAAATCTAAAGACTTTCTAATTACTAGTGTATCAAACATTACAATAAAATAAATGTTTCACAATTCATAGATCTAAAGAATCCAAACACTCACATGCCTTTGTTTATGAGATCTCTTTACTTTACAATTGAAGTTGTTCTTTATCTTATATTTCGCCATAACATCTACGAGTGTTGTTTTATTCTTACATAACTGACATGTCTTCACCTCTATACCATTTGAATCAATTATGTAATTTGTCCATTTTAATTCTGAAATAAAATATGAATCACAAATTCTTCATTCAACCATCGCAAGAGCTTGTGTATCTTGTGTTATGCCTTCTACACACGTTATTTCTTCGCATGTTCCATCAAAACTATCTACATTATCGTTAATCTTTTCAATTGTGTCAATTCATAATGGATACATTGAAAATTCTTGCTCACTTTTTCACTTCTAAATATATTTAACACCCATGTCGTTCTTAGTTTTCATCGTAGACAAGTTACCTTATATGATGTAACGAATCTCAATGTTTTCCTTGATACATCGATATCCAATTCGGCTGAAATTGATGCTTTGAGATTTATAAATGAAATGATTGTCCAACAACGATTCCGTCACTTTTGTAACTTTCATATTTCACTTCGCTGACCTAAATTTCTGAATGCCTCAGTAAAATTGATATATTCAACATGTAGTAGCAAAAATTCAGAAGTTTTTTTCGTATTTCTTGCATTTTCAATGGCTGTTCACAAATTGTTCTTTCATGTAGAAGATATAATTTTGAAATTTAAATTTTAAAATGTCAGAGTCAGTTACCTAGTAAGATATGGATTGTTTTGAAATTGTAAGGCGTTAATTAAGCTTATTAAACTAACAGAATTAATTATTAAGTTTTTTTTCATTTTTATCTCAACAATAATTTATATACCTTGTATCAATTATAATGTATCTAAGTGGTATCCATGTATCATTCACTTGCTTTTTTAAGGGATTTTTAGTAATATGTAATAAGTTAGGATAAATTGTAATTTATATCTTACACGATGAGATTCTTTTGATTTATACAGTGGGCTTCTATAATTTAGAGTAAAATTTGGCCGTTGAGCTGAAGAAAATAGACCCAAAATTTGGTCTGGATGGGTTTAAGATGAAGTAAGAAATGAGCTTACATTGGAATTGAGAATTTGACCCATTTGCTTGCAATTATAGCCAACTGAAACTAAATTAATTGGTGAATTCGATTGAAATTGAAATGAGACGAATTAATATAGATTAATTAATGAGCTTTTTTAATTTCAATGAAATAAAATAATCACTTAATTATTAACTAATCAATTCAATATTATAACTGTAGCTTTAATTAAAAAAATTTAAATAAATATTTTAAATACATTTTTTGAGATGATTTTAAATGTTATTAAATGTTATGAAAATATACTAATTATACACATAATTATGTATAATATATATATTATTCAAAGATTATAAAAAGTGACAAAACGATTTTAAAATAACTTTCAAACAATTTTTTTGAATCTTTTAATATAAAACTAATTAATTCAAATCGATTGAAATCAAAGAAGCTTGATTAATTCATATTGTGAAGGATCAAAATTTGGTGTCAACATTTACCATGATGTTCCAATGTTTCTATTGTGGAGTCTATGTTGAACTTAAGACATCATGAAAACTAATTAATCCTGAAAGAAAGTAATGAGTGTGGATTCTTTCAATAGGTGATGCAAATGATGCAACATTCCAAGAACACAACAACATCAAGAATTCATCAACGAATTGAGCGCAAGGAAGTCAAGGAGCAGTAGCATTAATATCATTGTAATTGTGATTGTTGTGATTTGATTTATAATTGTTCTTTTTAAGATGTATTAATTAGTATTAGTTTTTATTGATGATGAAATGACATACCAAAGGCTTTGGCTTCAATTGTTGATTGCATTGGCTTTAGAATAGCCTTTAAACACAAATCTGAATAGCAACTTAACAAACACATTAATTTCATTCAACCACTGATTCATATACAAAGTCTTTCAAATAGCAACTTAACAATAGTCGAAAATGAAAATAGAATAAAAAACAGTTGGGATCAAATCGTTAAGCCAAATAAAGTCAATTAGGATAAACTCATTAAGCTAAAGAAAGAGAAATAAAATGTGTGTCATCAGTGCTTGGTGTGGCATAAGTGTCAGTTGTGACTTAAATGCTTTTGTAACTCTCCTCTCATAGCTGCCTAACCATAGTCCATTGAGTGTAATCAAGATCTACATTGATAGAAATTGAACTTGATAATGCAGCCTTATGTAACACCCTATCAATATTTCCAGAATGAGAAAACAACAAAATCATCACTTAAAGATGAACTAATATCAATAATGACAATTAAAAATGTGTTTAAATGATAAATTAAATATCTTCTCAATTATACTCGCACCAGATCCACATAAGAGACCATAACTGTCTTTGTTTTTATTTTTGTCTTGGTCCCCCTCTTAGTTGTGCTAGTCTTTCTTTTTTTGGTCCACTTGCATGATTGTAGAGTACCAAATGGACTTGTTGCAGGCCCCACACTACTTGATGAATTATTTGTAGGCCTTCCATCAAATGTTAAGGCAGTTGCAATCCTTACACCACTTGATGAAATATTTGTAGGCCTTTCACTAGATGTTGATGCAATTGCAATCCTGATAACACTTGATGTAGCACTAGTAGGCCTTCTACCAAATGTGAGGCAATTGCAGCCTTTACACCTGTTTTGGTAGCGTCATACTTGGACCTGAATTTACACTTGATTGATTTTTTATTCCAACATTTGTAAAATCAGATGCTTTATCACTCCTACCAACTTTATTAGTTGAATATTCAATATTTTCTACAAACATATCTTAAAGTCAAAAGTACAATTCAGTAACAGAAAGACATTAAAGCATAACTTATCAGAGAATATTTCATTTCTCTTTCCTTCCTTTTCACTTTAAAACTTTTTGTTGACAGACTCATCACTATCTTTTTTTTACATGATCTTCCTGCATGCCAGTAATTTCAAGTGGTTTAATGGCTAATTTTGTGCTTTTGGATCACATTTTCATGTTTGTCATAATTTGAATAAACCTATTATATATATATATATATATATATATATATATATACACACATACTAGTGACCAAGAAATGACTCAACAATCCAATCATTATAATGACATGTTGTAAGTGCATGAGCACAAGAAATTTCCTTTAGTTGCCATGACATACAACTACATACCTTTTTTAGACCAACAATATGTTTATATGGTGAATCATGAATCTCAAAGTCAAAATCTATAATTTTAGCATTTTTTTGAATAAAATCTTCCATAATTATTGGTGAAATATCAATAATCCATTTTTCTTAAATTTCTCTTATTTGATTCGTTTTCTTTATGACTTTGGTTCTTATTTTCTTTAGCATAATGATGAAGATATGAATCTAGTGCCCAAAAGTCAACTATTGAAAGTTTCTCACATTTTGTTTTCAACCACATCATACTTGCTATGTTCATTAAAATATGATTTAAATTGTGCTTCTTTATTATGCTTTAACAAATCTTTCACAATGTCTTGTCCTAACTGACTCATTTCATCAAGTTTTACCTGTAAAAGGATTTCAAAGGATGCCCCGACAACCTGCTAGAATTTTCTTCTCCTTTCTTCACCCCTCCACTATTTCTTTCACTTTTCACTTAGCATGTCATCTAATTTTAGCATTTGACGATAATTCAACAAACGCAAGATGAAGGTGTTGTTAAACAAAGAATATTAGACATATAACAATATTAAATATTAATTACTACAAAAAGTTGAAAGAATAAATTTGACAAATGATTTTGTAATACCTTTTTTTTTCATATGAGACATCTATGTTAGTCATGCACCTTCAATCTCTGTAAGTTTCAAATCATGTTTGATGCACTTCAAAAATCAAGATCATGTGTCCTTGGTTTCTTTATTAACTATTCTCCATGCTATAAGGTATATCTCATTATTTCTATCTTTGGAAATGCAAGATTATAGTTGACCTTTACATACGCTCTTAAGAAATGCACCATCTAGACCAATAAATTAAATCCTTCTACAATTTTTTTTTATTCACTTTTTTAAGGCACAAAGACAAACATAGATGCCAATAAACACCCCTTTTCATAGAACTATGTTGTTGGATTCTTAATAGATACAAAAGTTTCAAGTTTTGTAGTCTTTAATTCCTCATTTATATTTGCTTGGTGCCTTAAAAAGTGGACGGAAAGAGGGGTATATAAAAATTATTGATTTAGGTGGTACATTTCTCAAGAGTCTATGTGAAAGTGAACTATTATCTTGCATTTCTAAAGATGGAAATAATCATATGTACCCTATAGCATGAGCAATAGTTGATAAATAAACCAAGGACATATCCTCTTGATATTTTAAGTGCATCAAACATGATTTGAAACTTAGAAAGACTGAAGGTGAAGGACTAACAATGATGTCTGATATGCAGAAAGTAGATATTACTAAATTATTTGTCAAATTTGCTCTTTTAACTTTCTTTGGTAATGATATTAAACATTGTCGTGTATCTAAATTTCATTGTTTGACAAAGTCTTCATCTTGCACTTGTTGAATTATTGTCAAATGTTGAAATTAAATGGTGTGCCATGCATATATGGGAAAATTGGAAGAAAGATAGAAAGGGTGTAGAAAGAAGAAGAACATTCTCGCAGGTTAACAAGACATCATTTGAGAAGGTAAAACTTGATGACATGAGTCAGTTAGGACGATGCATTGTGAAAAATTTGTTAAATTATAAGATAAAATGGTCAAAAGCCTCCCCAACCTATAGTCATATTCTCAACTACACACCTATACTTCATGATGATTCTAATACTCCCTTGAACTATTTTAAAATGAAATTATTGTCACCTTATATGCTGAGATGGCAAAGAAAATTCACTTTTTTAAAAAAAGAGTGAGATACACTTTTTTTAGTTAAAAGTTTTAACTTTGCAAGTGATTTCCTCTTTTCATTTCTAACATTTTTTTAAAAAAAAATTATGTTATGTTTTACTTCTATTTCTCTTTTCTTTTAAATTTTTTTGTCTTCTTTCTTTTTCTCTTCAAAATTTCTCCGAAAAATATCATAAACTTATTTAATTTTGCAGCTATCACTAGTATTATCTTTCTCCTCTCTTTTTTTCTAGAAGAAATCTACTCTCCTTGTTCTTATCATATAATTCAATTTTGCATTCTCAGAGACTAAGTTTACCATTGTCATACCGCTATTTTTCCCTTTTTTCCAGATCTATCATAGTATGTGTTATTCAATTTTGAGTAATAGCAAATTAAAAAATATTCAAAAGTAAGTCGTATAGAATAATTTTTAAAATGCTAAAAATACTTTTTGTAGACAGTGACCACGATAACGAGACTAAAAATAGCAAAAAAAAAAATTTTGTACTTCGAATCACAATATCCAACTTTAATATGTGACCCACTTTTCGAAAACTACTTAACCACACGACTTATCAATGTTGTCATCTAATTCTTCGATTGATAGAATCAAATTCGATTCAATGTTCTTATCATTATTACTTGAATGAAAATTCACTAAAATTATGAAAATAAAATAATACCTTTCGAACATCATTAAAGGTGTTGGCGAGGGGTGTCGGCGACAATGAAAACACCTTGGGATTGTTGAGAAATTTATCCAAATATTAGGAAAGCTTATAGAGGAGTAGATAGAGCTGATCATAGTGGACTGGGTCAAAACCTTTATTAATGCTTTTTGAGATTTGTAACATTTAACTTTGATAATTAATAAAATAGTGTAACAGCCACCAAAAAATTGTTTTTTCAAAAAAAATATAAAGAAGAAGAAAGAAAGAACAAGGTAATGTGCTTCTGGTTTCATATCAATAACAAAAGAGAAAAAGAGATAGGAAAATATAAAATAAAGACAAAATAATAACTTTTTGTACTAAAAAATGATGTGGTAGGCGAGTGTATCTCACTACTTAACATAAATTTGGGTAAGACTTTTTAAGTGGGTATATATTTCACTTTTAAAATGTTCAGGGGTAATAAGGTACCCATAAAGTTAAAGTATGTAGTTGGAATTCCAGGTATAGATTGGAGGGTTTTAGACTATTTTCTCAAAGTATAATAAAAAAGCATGGTGTAGAGCTATTTCAAAGAACATGCAAATGATGTTGACAAACAACATGTGTGAGACTTTCAATAGTTGAAATTTGATTGTTAGATTCAAATCAATTATCACTATGCTAGAGTAGATAAGAGTCAAGGTCATTAAAAAAAGAATCAAATGAGAAAACTTTTAGAAAAATGGACTACTAATGTATCACAAATAGCTATGGAAGAACTTAAACAAAATGTTGAAATTGCAGATGATTATGAGATGAAGTTTATTGATAATTTTGACTTTGAGATTAATGATCCACCATATAAACATGTTGTTGACCTAAAAAAAACAAAGGTGTATGATTGTAGGGTATGACAAATAAAAGGAATTTTTTGTGTCTATGCACTTACATAAAATGATTATAAGGATTGAGTTGTTGGATCATTTGTTGATAACTCGTATAAGAAGAAAACATACTTGAAAGCATATAACAGGTTTAACTTGTGACAAACATAAAAATGTGGCCAAACATTACAAAATCAACCATTGAACCATCTGAAATTACTTTGATGCTAGGAAGACCAAGTAAAAAAAGAAGAAAAGATAGTAATGAGCTTGTCAAGAAAATTTTTGGAAAGGCTACAAGGAAAGGAAGAAAAATGAAATATTCTCTGAGTAAGACTTTTAGACATAACAAGAAAGGATGTCCAACTCTGGTAAGTTGTTCTTTAATGTCTTTCTGTTACTGAATTTTACTCTTTTTAGTTATACTTTTGACTTTAAGATATGTTTGTAGAAAAATGCTTGAACTTCAATGGATTTGATAAAGTGATAAAGCATGTGATCTTACAAATGCTGGATTATAAAGTCAATCAAGTGTAAATGGAGGTTCAAGTGTGACACCTACCACAACATGTATAAGGACTGCAACTGCCTCTGGTAGAAGGCCTACCACAACATGTGACTTATGGAATTCACTATTACATGATGATGTTATCCTATACGATGTATGAATAACAATAAATTAGGGTTAGATCTTGAAGGAAGTTGTGAAGGCTATGAATGAAGGTTTTCAATTTGATGAAAAGTCTTATATTTAATTGTTTATCAACTTATGATGGAGGCGCTTAATTGATTTATTATTTGTGGTGTTGAGTCATGATTCCTCTCTCAAACAACCCTAATTATGATCAAGTATGTTATGATATGAACATGAATGTTATGTTATGATTATAGTAGTGTCGGTTTGATGAATGAAAGGTGATTCTCATAAACACTATAGGACTATGATATAAAAGAACATTCTCACATGTTCTTGGTTCTATGATTGAAATGTTATTCTCATCTTTGGAACCTTTGAGCTAAATAATATATGTGAGAGGTGGAATTCGTAAGGCATTCTTTATGAACTAATACATAAGTAAAGGTTTAATCTTACTTTAACAGGGAAATTGTGCTTAGCACCGAGTGAATATGATTATGAGATGAGTTTTTCACGTTAGTAGTTGGGTTCCCACTACGGTATCTCATGAGATGAAAACCCGCACGTTAGAAGTATAAGGTTTCTAGAAGAAATATCCATATCTCATAACTATGTGCCCTCATAGGTCTTAGCTAATTGATCCACCTTATAGATAGGTATAACTAGTTTCATCGTAGGCAAGAGAAACACCTTTTTTTGGTGTGGGGGTAGAACACCAAATTCCATATAACTCACATGGTCTATATCGATTATCGCAAATCTTCCTATGTTTTAAGGATATGAATTAAAATATGAATATGACCTATGATTAAGAATATGAACTTTAACTAGGGATTCTTGAGAGGTACTACTTAGTATAGGTGAGGGTATGAGACTTTACCTATACATTGAACAAGTGGGTCTAAGAGGAGTTCTTGCATGAGTCCTTTATGTATAGCAACTTATGAATGATGTTAAGGTTGATTTCACCTATTATGAAATTTATTATGTATGTAATTACACTTGTAACTTCTTGATGGCTTTACTTAGTATATATATGGGGGTATGAAACTTCATATGTACATTGCACACATGAACTTAAAATGGGGTCATGGGTGGTGTCTTTATGATATGATGTGTTAAGTTATGAAATATTACTTGTTATAGTGTTACTTGTGATCATGGATGTCTCTTCATCTTATAGTATGTATTGTTATGTATTTTTTGAATGTGCATTATGACTTTCAACTTGAAATAGCATGTTTTTAACTAAAAATTCATTTTTGCATGTTTTAAGTGATTTTAATTGCGTGGCCTCCATACTTAGTACAAACTGATTTTACTAACTCATATTTCTCGTATTTTTCCACTAAGTGTAGATTTTGGCTAGTATGTCCTCATTGTGAAGAAAAGAAGGCTTGGATTGTATTCCTACAAGACTTTGGTATGTCCTCAAGTTTCGAGGTCAAGCATAATGTCACTTACGTTTCTTTCTATTGTAATAGACTAATAGACTTCTTATGTTTCTATTATGAGACAATTCTATTGTAAAGGGATATGGTTCTTATGTTAGACTTCTATGTTGTACTTAGACGGTTTATGAGATGTCTAGACATTTTCTTTTCTATGATGAAAGAGTTTGAAATCGATTGTAAAAAGGGTTTTAAATTCCACAGATTCAATGTCTTATGCAATGATGATTATGCTAAGAACTTGTATGAGATTCCTTCGGGATCAAGTACGTCGTGTCACGTTTAGGGGGTGCTCTCAGGGCGTGACAACAACATGTTGGACTCAACTGCCTCACCAGAACGTTTTGCCTTGAAGAAAACAATTTGTGTTTGGTTAGTTCTTTTGAAAATTGTTTTAATAAGCAAATTATGTTGGGTTAATCTTATGTAAAATGTTTTTTCTTAGAATCAAAGTTATGAAAAAGGGTGATTGTCAATGTACTTTAATATTAAAATTATTATATATAGAGAGAAACTATTTTAAATAGGAAAAATGGTATAAAATAGCAAGCTATTAATTTTAATTAAATGCTATAACCACATTTTCATTTAATTCTAATCCGTAGCAAAATTTTGCCATTTGCCTCTCTCTCCAGATATCTCGCTCGCCACTCTCCTGATCTCACTCGTCACTCTCTCTCGCCTTTCTCACTTTATACAAACACAAATCTATAAATTATGTTTGTGTTTTTATAAAGAGAGAGAAAATTATATATATAACACAAATACATATCTTTTCATTCGCTTCTCTCTTAGATATCTCGCTCGCCGCACTCTCTCGCCTCATTTTCTTTATACTAACACAAAATGTATTGTTTTGTGATTGTATAAAGCGAGAGAAAACTGTGTATATAAATACAAATACATATATTTTCATTCTAAACAGTTATAATTATACAATACAAATTTCCCCCTGCCCAGTTATCTTTTGTCTTTCTCTTTTTTTTCGCTTTATACAAACACAAATTATATAAAAAAGAATACTTTCTTATTCCAAATATACTTATACAATTGATATTTTTGTATAAGTATACCGAAATATACATATTAATAGCCATAACAAACATAAAGTTTGTTATGACGCGCAATTATGCAAACTATAACTATAACGTACAAATATGATTTTTATGTTTACTAAACCTAAAATTTACTCTTTTAAATATCTATTATAATTTTTTAATTTTATTTTAATTATATTCATATGTACATATTCAAATTTTAAATCAGTATTATATATACATACATACATAAATAAATTAAATATTGATATAATATCAACATGAAGATTTAAATATAATTAAAAATATTAGGCAAAATGATTTTGTGGATCCCTGTACTTGCATGCGTTTGTATTGTGACTCATTCTACTTACCTCTTTGTCATCTGGACCCCTGAACCCATCTAAACTCAACATGTTGAATCTTTTCAACACATCGTGGCTCTCAATCGCGTTGATGTCACACTCCATGTCAGATAAAATTTGCCACATCATTCTTATCTCTTTTTATAATAATATATTTTTTGACAAAAGAAAAATCATAAAGTTTGATGCAATTTTGAAAAATTTAATTTTAATTTATTATTTTAAATTAAATGTTTGAGTCTCCTAGCATCATCCAGTTTCACAGCGAACTGTCCCAACTGCTGAAGAAAGTCGATGTTGTTGCCACTCCTCTTGTCAAGGAAACTACAAATACGATCTCCCTCACCAGTCTACATCCACTACAAGAAAACAGTGAATTATATGGGGATTTTCTTGAGGATTAGTATGAAATTGGCAGAAAACTTATTTTTCTGTAAATTTCATACTAATTCCCAAAAACATCCCTATGTAATTCACGATTTTCTTGTAGTGGTCTTCATTACACATACTCACCATTTTTCTTTCGTCCTTCTCCAACCTCCACAAATCGCCGCACTAGCTCCTTGCCATTGTCGGTGTGGCTCCTCGCCATTGTCGAGCGATGTGAAGCACTAGGAACCTCCTATGCTCTCCTTCCTCTCCGACGTACCAGAAGGCCAAGAAACACATTGCCTCCGGCGTACAAAGGCTCCCCTCCACCTCTGGAGTCTGCTGTAGCAGACCATTTTGCCAAAAAAAGCTGGAAGAATAAAAAAAAAGGTAGGGCAAAGATGGATGGCTGAAAAAACATATGGGTTGGTTGAACAAAAATGATATTTTTTTCTTTTTAAGTTTATTATATTATTCTCTTATAATTTAAATATTTTTAAAATTAAAATACGGCATTCACTTGCTCACTTGCCTTAATAGGCCTTTAGCTTCACTCTCTTGCCAACTCAACCATCTTAATGACACATACGCATGGTCAATGGTCAGAGGGGTTTGATATATTATCTTTTATTGAGTGTAAGGGTCTAGATGACAAAGACATAAGTAGAAGGATTTTTAATACAAACTGATACAAGTACATGAGTTCATCAAATGATTTTGCCAAAATATTAAACAAAATAAATTTAAAATTCATTCCATAAATTAAACTGCTATATACGAAAAGTTCACCACA